TTACGACGGCGTTTTAGTGCCACATTAAGAATTTTTTAAAAATCTAAGATTGCGAGATTAAAGTCGTAATATTACGACTTTAATCTCGCAATCTTAGATTTTTAAAATTTTTTTAATGTGGCACTAAAACGCCGTCGTAAAAAAGAGTAAAATAAGTTTTTAGTTTATTATTATGCAAAATAAACAAAAATACTGTTATCAAATTTTATATGATATGATACTATTTTTTTTTTTCCAAAATATGTTTTACTGTGAAACTGCAAGAAAAAAAAAGAAAAAAAAAAATCAAAGCCATAAATCTAAACATGTTGTGTTCTAAATTTGAGGTTGATATATCAAAAAATTAGTTTTCAGTAAGATTTTTAGGCGCAATACCAAACATTTCTAGATGAAATTTGATTCTCATTCGTTTCAAATGCACTCATTTTTGACCACAAACAATGCAAGTGTGATTTGTTTTTTTGTTTTTGTTTTTTGTGTGTGTGTGTGTGTTCACATAGCATGTACCAAAACCTTTACCAAGTTCTTTACCATTCCGGTGAAGTGTAAAAAAAAATTTTTGTTTGGTCAAAATGTTGGTCAAAAAATGACCAAAAAGCACCAGATGGTTAAATTCACAAGGCCCTAGACAGCATTTTAAGGGTTAGGGATTGAGACACTTCTCCCCTGACAATGGTACTGCTTCCAAAAAAATCATCTGATTAAAATACTGCACACTGCTTTTCTTTCATTTGCTCTCGGTGTCGTTCCACTTTCTCTCTTTTTATGTCTCTCTTTCTCCCTAAAGGAGGAAGATGTGGCTCAGTCAGACACGCAGCGACCTTTTAACTTTGTCCAGGATTTTTCTTCTTCCTCCGTCCTTTAAGGGAGGTTAATTATGAGCAGTGTTCTGCATGACTAGAGAGTAAAGAGAGATGCAGCGTGGACTGATAATCCTGAACCACTGCAAGACCAGCACTCTGGAGAATAATGAAGACACTCTATCTATCTATCTGTCTATCTATCTGTCTATCTGTCTATCTGTCTGTCTGTTCTGTATATCCATTGATCATCTATCAATCTACCCATCCATCATTCTATCTGTCCATCTATCCATTCACCATCCATTGTTCTATCTATCTATCATTCTATCCATCCATCCATTCATCCATCCATCCATCCATTTATCTGTTGTTCTATCTATCCATCCATCATCATTGATCTATCCATCCATCCAGGGTTCTTATGTTATATCTATTTGCCTAGTGTTCTATTGTTCCATCCATCCAGCCATCATTATATCATTCCATCTATCCATACATCATTCTGTCAGTCCATCCATCCATCCATCCATCCATCCATCCATCTATCCATCTATCCATCTATCTATCTATCTATCTTTCCATTGTTCCATCCATCATTCCGTTGTTCCATCCATCATTGTATCATTCCATCCATAGTCTGTCAGTCTGTCAGTCAGTCTCGAAGTGTTTTGGTTTTCATGTGCCATGATGTGATTGTTTGAATCTCTTGGAGATCAGTGTCATAAAAGACTCATTTGAGCAGCAAACGGATGACGTGATTTCAAGGGTGCTGGATGAAACGACTGAGCTCAAGCCAGACTGCTCTCCTTTAGGTCCTCCTGTGAAAACCAAGCGTTCATTAATCTCAGGCGACACCTCGTCTCTCTGAAAACAAACATTACAGTGCTCAGGTTAATCAGGTGAACTTATCTAATAGATGCACATGAAAGGCTGCTAATGTCTTTCCAGCATGTCTCTCTCTCAATGACACAGAAGAGGCGACTGGAGAGTTTTGACTGATAGTGAATAATTTGAACCAAATGAATTGATTCATATGAATTTGTTAAGGAGAGAGTGTGTTGATTTTGGTCTCCGTCCGCTCAGCTGTAGTCTGACTTCAGGTCAGCGCTGTGTTTTAGCACTATACGCCGCTACATGTTGGTAATAGTAGCTTGTTATAGTTAAGTTAGTCATGTTGCTACTTTTAGTGATACTCCCTGAGGCTACTGTCAGCAGGGTTGCTTTCCTCCTGCTGTCACTGTATAGAGGTCATGTGGTCCGTGAAAGACCCGACACGTCGACCGGGGACGGCGTTGGCAGCGTGTTGCGGTGTTGCAGCCTCACTGAGCGATGCCTCGGTGTCACGTCCGGCACATGCTGCCGTTCATTCAGAGCCAAAGACTCACGCAATGCATGAGACTCTGTTGTGTTGCTTTTCAGTGCAATTTCCACCTGCGTCGCAGCAGGGTTCAGTCTAGAGCCCAATGATATATATATTTTTTTTTATATATATATTCCATTTTATTTTTTTCTGGACTCTGCTTTAATGGTTAAATAAAATTTTAGTAATCCAAAAGCATGTCTATTTAATTGAAATCCTGCAACTTATACAGTTTAACAACAATTTATTAAAAGTTTAACAACAATTACCTTTTTAGAGCCCTATGAAACAGTTTTATTTTTTTTAATTCTCAAATTCCATTTTATTTATTTTTTTACCAAATCCTGCATTTAATGTTTTCCATTTTAATGGTTTCATTAAATTTTAATAATCAAAAAGTCAAATTAATTATATTCATAAAAACAACTTAATTTATTATTATTTTTTACACTAATAGAATGGAATTTTTTTCTTCACAAATTCTGTTAATGTATTTAAATTTTCCTGTTAAACAAATGAAGGCATAAAACACTCATTTAATTTATCTTTTAATCAAATGAAAATTAAACCCTTTCAAACAAAGTTCTACACAACAGAGATTTACTGTTAAAATAAAAACATGGGGGAAAAAGTGTGATTATTAAAAAAAAAAAAAAAGTTGTAATAATAATTGCATTACTATTATTATTAGTGTTAGTGTTAGTGTTATTGTTGCCCTCATACATTCTATTGTACAATGATAATATATTTCTGTCTAGTTTCTTCAGGTTAAACCAGACTTTTATTTTGACGGGTTGCCATGAAGACCTTTAAAGTGATAGTTCACCCAAAAATAAAAATTCTATCATTTACTCACGCTCAAGTTTTCCAGACCTGCATGAGTTTCTTTCTTCTGTTCAACACAAAAGAATATATATTTTTATGAATTTTGGTTAACCAAACAGTTGCTGGTTGCCATTGACTTCCTTAGTATTTTAATTTATATATATATATATATATATACTATGGAAGTCAATGGCAACCAGCAACTGTTTGATTACCAACATTCTTTAAAATTATGTTTTTTGTGCTCAACAGAAATGACTGACCTGCTTTTGGTTTATGCATTCAAAATTTGACAAATTCTGTGACATTCCTTGTTATACAGTAAATTCCATTTTTATAACTGGAGTCTGCGATTCGGCCGTAGTTTAGTTATGCTTTTAGACCTAAAGCATTCCTTAACTGTCAGGAGACTCTGAAGTGACATCTTCTCACTCGTACAGTATGATCGATGTGGCTGCCGGCCGTTTAATTACCCTTCCTAACAAACTCAATCCAATTCGGCTCTTGTTTTAGTCGGGGAAAGTGGAATGATCTGCACCGCGTCTCTCAGCGGGTTAATTAACGATGTGCAAACAGCACAAACGGAGCCTGCCATAATTTACTACTATTATTATTATTATTATTATTATTATTGCTTTTTTGTGTTCTGCAGAAGAGCGAAAGTCAGTTCATAGTTTGCAGGTTTGGAACAAAGTGAGTACATGATGACGGAATTTTCTCTTTGGGGTTCAGTTATTACTTTATTGTCTTGCTTTTCAAGTAAATTTCAAGTAACTGGAAAACTATGGAGGACCAAACCTGCAGAAATTATAAATAAATAAATATAAATAAATACATGCATATATATATATATAGAGAGAGAGAGAGCTCTCAACCAATGATTCACCAGAGCTCCGCAAGGACCGCCTCCCTCATTTCCTTGTTGCACACGGAAAAGTAAAAGATATAAATGAATAAATAAATCTGGAAATAAATACATGTGGGAATAAATATTTTTAAAAATGCATGAATAAATACATTTAAAAATAAATAAATACATAAATTAATTAATTAAATTTAAAATCTAAATGAAAGAATAAGTAAATAAAAGTTAAAAATAATAAAAATAAATGTAAAAATAAATACAGAAAATAATACATAAAGGAAAAAAGTAATGAAAAATAAATACAGGATTAAATTTCATTAGAAATGAACTATATTTGTAATTAATTAATTTATTTATTTTACATTTATTCATGTATTCATAATTTCTGCAGGTTTGGTCCTCCATAGAAAACGAGCATTTTTTCTGCAGTATAACTAAGTTAGGAAAGTACATTTGTTAAAGCAAAACTTCAACAACCATTGGCTGCAGTTTAATTTGATCTCTGTACCTTCCTAAAGGCCTCGTGTTCGTATAGCTGCAGTCAGTCGTGCAGCGTTGTGTCCAGATGTCTGGGGTTTGGACGATCACATTTTCCCCAGATTTCATCCCACTCCAGCACTTCACAGCCGATCTCTGCACTAAAGCGCCGTTCGATTTCTGTGCATCTGTCTGTGCGTGTCCATAGCCTGCTCTTTTGAATTGATTCTGTCATATGGATTAGAGTCGTGAATCATTAGCGCAGGGTTCTCCGCAGACGCTGCTTTGTGCTGCAAAGTATAAAAAGATGATATTACTGCCAAGAGCCCTGGGGTTTTTCTAACAGCGAGCGAGTATGAATGTGCAAATAAGCCTGGCGAGGACAGAAAGGAGGTCGTGCTTCGCTTTGCAGGGAAGACGACGGACCGCAGAGCGACTGCCTGAGCATCGCGGCCCCAGATTATCACGCCATCTGACCCGGAGAGGAACCACAGCGCACATGTCACGTTTAAAACGTCTGAGCGAGAGAAAGCGCCACAGGCGGCCGATAACGCGCAGCTAAGCTGGAAGATGCAATGCTTTGGTTTTTCTGCTTGTGTTGTTTTTGAGCACAAATCTGTTTTGGCGCTAGATTGGCTTTGACCTCTCCTCTGCGGCTGACAGCAGCTGTTCTCCGGATTTGAACCCACGTTACGATGGCACATGGGTACACGTGTTAACGCTTTCTCGCCCCAGACGTTTTCGCCCCGTGTCCATCTGTGCCTTTCCTCACGAGCCACAGAGTGTGAAGAGGTTGAGGAAAGGGCGGCATGACTGTAGAGAATCTGCTGTATTGTTCATGTAGCAATTAAACTGAAACTCTGTAACCAGCTCGTCTAACAAACCTGTAAATGCAATCCATTTGAAATGAACTACTTAATCTATGAATCAAGCCATCAAATCCTATACTGAATGCTGCTAAAAATGATAATTGTGCATTAAACTTGAGCATTCATTTAATCATTGCCAGTGTAGACATATTTATTAAAATCAACTGAATCACAGGGCAGTGCAGGACCAATAAAATAATATATTAATTTTAAAATATACCACTCAGCAGCTTGTTATAAATAGAATTCCTCAAAAATGAGCCTAAATAATATATATAAGTATATGTTATTTATGCTTTTGTTGTTTTATTCCTTATTTTTTTAATCATTTTCAAATGTGATGTTGTCTTTTATTTTTCTTCTTTATAAAAAGGACCCTGAATTGCTACTGTATGTGAAATGTGCTATATGCTGTAAACTGGCCTTGCCAAACCCCATAGATATATGTAAACAGCTAGCAGTGGTAGTGCTGTTTTACTTTATTTACACGACAGGGCGACACGTGGAATAATTCCAATCAATTTCCAGATGGTGGTATAAATGACTCACACTGTGATTTTGGTCATCACCCCCACTCTTACTGGTGAATGTCTCTAAAGGAAGATGAAAAGCTTCTAGCCATGTGTTCGTATTTCAATCCAACTCTCAGTCTTTCACCCACGTTGCTCATGGGATTGACGTTTTCACCGAGTCTTGTGTGCAACACTCCTTTTTTTTTAGTTTTTTTCTTTTTTTTTTCAAAAATGGGATTTGTGAAATAGCATCAAACTGTGTCATCCATTCATTCATTCTGAAAGATCTGAAAGATTCTTCAAACAACTAAGTTTGTACAGGTTTTCTTCTTTTTCAGTCGAGCGATAGAAACGTGAAGGCGCTGAAACGCTCGTTTATCGGAGGAGCACTGCTTCACTTCAGCTGAACTGACTGTCCTGTATTCTGGCTGGAAACTCTTGGAAAGTAGATTAGTCACTCGAAAATGACAGTATTCACACAAAAATGCATAGGGTCACTCAAAAATATATTTAATTGTATAACATAATCATTTTATTTCTGTAGAAGGGAGCCAATGAAAGAGAGATGTCAGTGGGTTAAATTATGAAACCGTCTTCATTTTAAACTCATGGTTCTAATGACCCGTTCCATAGCAACCGGGATCGGAACTGTTGAAAAGAATCAGTGAAGATGTTTTTCATTCAGACATGGAATGCTCGGAGTTCTATACCTTTCTGCTTCCCGGAGAAGTGTGAAAGGACGTTATTCCAGCTAAAGAAAGTGGCTTTAGAAAGAACAACAATGATAGAAGAATTAATTCAAGGCTAGATGGGGAAGAACATGTTGAATAGACATGTCGTTTGCAAAGGGGTCTTTCAAATAAACAATAAGTTCATTGCATATGCTTTTAGAATTAGAATTTTAATTATTTTACCTACAGTAATTTGAATCCCAGAAATGCAGTCCAAATAATCATGTTATTCACTTCTCCAACAAGCATCCACACCCTTATGGCTATCCTATCCTTATAGCTATAAACTATTTTCAGTGAATGCACAATATTTACGCTATAGGTAAATAACTAGAAGAATAACGAAGTGCAGTAAAAGATATATATATATATATATATATATATATATATATATCAGCATACATTAAATGCAGTGCAACAATTACTGAAGTGATATATGAATACTTAATTTTTTTTAAATGTCAGAATTTTCTTATGCATTAATATAATGAGAAATGGGCTAAAACAGGCTTAATTTTCTTAAAAAATTTTTTTTAATTAAATTTATATTCCAGAAAATATTATTTTTATTTCAAAAGAAAAATCTTCTTGTTTTTTTTTTTCTTTTGATTTTCAAGTGAAATATGACCTGGACATGTTCTTGATGTGTTTTTACATTCATTAAAAGAAGAAACAGATTTGGTTCAAACTGTGTCATCCATTCATTCATTCTGAAAGATAGTGAAAAATCTTCAAACAACTAAGTTTGTACAGGTTTTCTTCTTTTTCAGTCGAGCGATAGAAACGTGAAGGCGCTGAAACGCTCGTTTATCGGAGGAGCACTGCTTCACTTCAGCTGAACTGACTGTCCTGTATTCTGGCTGGAAACTCTTGGAAAGTAGATTAGTCACTCGAAAATGACAGTATTCACACAAAAATGCATAGGGTCACTCAAAAATATATTTAATTGTATAACATAATCATTTTATTTATTTTTTTTTATAATTTTTAAAACATCATACCCACCATAGTTATGTATCGGATATTGTCTTACATTTCCTATTATATTTCCTATTTCCTTGTGTATATATATATATATATATATATATATCAGCATACATTAAATGCAGTGCAACAATTACTGAAGTGATATATGAATACTTAATTTTTTTTAAATGTCAGAATTTTCTTATGCATTAATATAATGAGAAATGGGCTAAAACAGGCTTAATTTTCTTAAAAAATTTTTTTTAATTAAATTTATATTCCAGAAAATATTATTTTTATTTCAAAAGAAAAATCTTCTTGTTTTTTTTTTTCTTTTGATTTTCAAGTGAAATATGACCTGGACATGTTCTTGATGTGTTTTTACATTCATTAAAAGAAGAAACAGATTTGGTGTGATTCACCCTATCGTCTGCTCTGATTTATAGTTACTGTGTGTGTCAGTCATTAAAATCTCTCATCTAACGCATGCTGGAGGAGCATCGTGTAGCTCTCAAGATGCAGAGCTAATTAGGTGGAAAGGATCTGTTACGGTCCCGCTGATGTTTTTCTCGGTGTAATACGCAAGAGATCCTCTGTAATATGATCACAGGAAAAGACACATAAATAGCAGAACCAGTCTATATCTGACTTTCTGGGGGGGGGTTTGTCCAATTTAACTGATTCTGTTCTTGAGCGCTGAAATAAAGTTTCAGCTGTCACGTAACGTCATGAATAATGCACCGCATGTTGAGACCGAACGTCACCGAGAACAAAGACTCGAGATGTACAAGCTGGTAAACAGGCGGCGGATGGATCCGTGTGGCGAGGTGGCTTTGTTCTGCTGCTACATCAAAGCCACGCGTCACCTGCGTGATATCTGCTTCGTTCACCACACACAGCCCCGCCGCTTTACAACGCAACCATCTGCAATAATAAACCTGATGCAGTCCTGAGGAGTCGGTCAGAACATCAGGTGGAGCTTGATAAATGTTTTACTGGATCTAGAGCTGCAATTACGATTTATCAGCTCCTGCACTGCAGAAATAATGCTCGAAATATCCTTAAACCTCAGTGCTGTTGTCAGAGAACGCATCTGGAGTGTGTTTTGTCTTATCGCACTGGCATATATTTGTTTGAAGCATAAACCATATGGGAAGTGATTTTATTTGATCAGACTTTGGTCAGATTTTAAAAAATGTTTGAATTTTCTTATGCATTACAATAATGAGAAAGCGATTTTTTTAATGAAAAACAAGCTATATATTTTTTTTATATATATTTTTATTTATTTTTTGTTCAGTATATTTATATATCTTATATATTTGGTGTGTGTATATATACACAATGTATTTTTATATTTATATTTTATATTATAATATGTACAATATATTTATTATAATTGTAATATAATCATTTAATAATTGTGGAGTGTTCCTTTAAACCTCAAAAATAACATTTCACTCCTATTTCCTGTCTTGTTATTTGTTCCAGTCACTTTTCTCTCTTTTTTTTTTCCACGTCTTTGTTGAGTAAACCACAGACATTTGGCCCTGGCGAGCTTAAGAGGCTGATGGGTAATGTGCGTCTGAGGCTTATGTGCTGTAGTCATCAGAACGGCTCCCCGAGGCTTTACCAGCTCTGTCGTGTCGCGCGCCTGTAATACAGCAACCATAATTACACATCAGCAGCTCACAACAACGCTGGCATTTCCTTCACTCTGTACTCTAGTGCGTCTCTCCATGGAAAAGCCAAGCCATCGTCCCTCAGGAATTCCACTCGGGTGGATTTTTGGTGCTCTTTTTCCGTAACCGCGTCTGAGAGCTTCTCCACTGAAGCAGAGCGCCAATTAGAGCCGCCGGAGGAGACGTGCCACAGCTAAAGGCCACTGTTAGTGCAAAAAAAATTATATTTTTGTCATTTTTTCCCCAGAAAATATTTCTAAACATCCTTAAAAACAAGATCAGTTTACTGGAGAAGAAGTATTGCATGAGATATTAACGTGTTTTGAATTAAGTTTGTTTTTGGCAAATTGTTTTTATTCTAGTTTGGAGCATAACCAAAATGAGAGGTTTATGCTTAAAGGCAGAGTAAGTGATTTCTGGTAGCCAATGTTGATATCTGAAATCACCAAAACAAACACGCCCCTACCCCAAAAGGGTCTTGCCCCTATTTTGATAGCTCCGCCCCACATATACGTACGCAACCCAGGCGATTAGTTCTGTGAAACAAAGCAAAACCAATATT